CTGTTTTAAATTTGGATTTGATTTCCATTTGGGGGAACCAATCTCCTTAATAAAGGTAAAAAGAGCCGTACAGAAGTGTGGGTGGGGCGGGAGGCAGTGCGTGGGCTGCGCTACCCTCATTACCAGAACCCTGCGATTCAGCAGGAAGGATGTTTGATATTCTAATGCAATCGTCCCTAGCAATTGCTTCTGTTCAAACTCAGATGTAACGTGTGCACAATATAGGAATTAAACCCAACGAAAGCCCTCTGCAAATGGAGACATTAAGGAATGGAACAATAGAGCTTAATTCTTTCGCTAGTTCACAGATGGGAGACGTTTGGTTTCAGGGTCACGGAGAAATGGAGAATGAACACGGATCCCACAGCACTTCTCCCTCAGTGTACCCTTGTTGTGGCACGTGCCCTTGTTAATATCCTGCACTGCTCCTTGCAACAGACTTAACTGAGGAGGCCAAGCAATCTGCAGAGTTTTATTAGAAAGGGGAATATGCAAGCTGTAAAAGCCCACTTCACAGCTTTCAAGTCTTTTGTCTGTTTTTCACAAAAAAATAAAATAATAAAATATGCCCTCACTTCACGGAAGAAAGGGTCATTCTTTAATAGAAGGTTAATTTTTATGTCATTCAAGTAAATGAACATATGAAAAAATGATCTACTCAGACTTCAGAGGCAGGCCGAGTGGGCAATAAATAAAGTGGCAGAGGTGAATTCAGATTGATGAAAGTTACGAAGTTCTGGGCAGGGAGCCTAGTGAAAGCAAGCTTTCTGCAGAGCTGAAGCCAAAATCAGGCTCCAACAATACGTATGTTCTTCATATGCAACGTATCAAAGAGAACGCCATTCATCCTGTTATCCTCTCGCTCCATCTCCATCTCTCCTATTCCTTTCCTGTTCAGCTTTCTGATATTCTGGGCCTATTCCCAAGAGGCTGGACTGTCTTAGGAGAAAAGCATTTAGAGTCAATGCACTTAACTCCAGCAGCTACTTAATTTTATCAGGGATTTATGTTGATCAGAAGTGACAGCTATTGGGGAATCAGAAATAGGCCATTGCAGAGGGATCTAGTCAAGACCTTTGGGAATTTCTGATTCATGAATCCTATTACCAGGCCATATAATTCCCCCTATAAAGTGCAGTGAAATGTAACTGAAAGCCATTTTGCACCAGGAAGTGAGGAGCTATCATTTTCTGAATTGCCACATGTACATGTGCAGGGAACAGAAAGCCTTGATGAGACAGAATGGGGGGAGTCTGCATGCTAGAGTCCCCCGTTAATGAGTTTTCTAAAGCATGCTTCAGCCACAGGAGCAACTACAGGCATTCCCTGGGTTACAGAAGAGATCCGTTCCTAACTGTGTCTTTAAGAATTTGTAGTGAAGTTGGACTGAGTGCATACGGTTTTTATTTAGCCTTATGTTAGTGCTTAGAGCCTTTTCAATGATTTAAAAGCTGCATGGGCAGCAAGTGAAGGTGACTGTTAAAAAAATTTGTTTCAAGTACAGGTTGGTTACCTCTTTTCAAGTTGAGGGCAAATTTTACAAAGCAAGTAGGAGTTGTCTGTGAGTTGAACATTTGTATCCTGGGAACTGCCTGTATTGCACATGGTGGCCTACAGATCATTTTTATCCTCCAAGATATATCTCAAATTTATCCATTCATTCCAAATGGAATATGTGTCCAACTGCCTGCATGAACAACTGCTTCCTTAGGCATGGCACAAGAAGAACTGGATGGTGACCTGTTACCAATACTTAACATGAAGATCAAGGATTCTAAAGGAGAATCTTGATCAAAAGGGGGGAAATGCAAAACAGAATTTTAAATTCTTATGCAACCCAGACATTCTGCAGCCACTGAGGCTGGATGAGTTTCCAAATCTATTACTCTGAGGAAATCTTTAAAACTTTGAATGAAAACTATCCCCTAAAGTCATCTTTGAGGCAAATAATAGCTTACTCTAATTAGGAAAGAAAGTCCTTGTGAAGCATTATACACTTTTAAAGAATCGTCGACATGTGATCAAATCGACAAGAGTCGAAAGGATCGATGAGAAGCAGTAAGTTTGCTAATGATGATGAAATAGTTTAGAAAAGGTTGTTGAGACAGGTGGCATGCTTGGAGAACATAACTAGTATCACTGAATTGGGCGTGTAGCAATTGCTGAAGTGGTGTATGTTGCATTGTGTGTAATTTCACAAAGAGGAAGGGAGGGATAGAAGGATCGATTGATCGATCCATCTATCCACCCACCCATCTCCATTTCCATTGCTCCTACCAAGTGTAAACCATGATAATCCTTTCTCATGAAAAACAAGGACACCTTACTAACTGGCCTCCCTGCTTCCACTGTTGTGACCTACTCACTTTATCTTCATAAAGAAGACCCAGTGACCTCTCCACATGCTACATGTTTCATTACCCCTCTTCCCTTCCATAGCAATTTTTTTTCTATTTTAAATATATGTGGAACAAAACATTTGTCATCCCATCATTCTTTCCATGGACAATTCAGTGGCATTACTTATGTCCATTGTGTGGTTCAATCCTTACCCTCATCCCTTCCCTAATTTTTCCAACACCTTTAACGGAAGTTAGTGTTCCCTGAGCACTGTGGCCTCCTCCCTCTCTCCCATCCCAGTGACTACTAATAAATTTTGGTCTCTATGAAGGCGCTCTGGTAGCATAGTGCCTAAGGCACTTGACTGCTCACCAGAAGGCTGGCGGTTCAAACCCACCAGCCACTCCTCGGAAGGAAGGTTGGGCAATCCTACTTCCGTAGTGATACTGCCTCGGAAACCCAAGGAGGGGTCGCTATGAGTCGGGTCCGACTCGACAGCAAACAACAACAACAACAACATGCGTTTGCTTACTCTGGGTATTTCATATAAGTAGGCTCCTACAATATCTGTTCTTTGTAGAGTGACTTATTTCACTCAGCATGATGTTTCCAGGGTTCATTCATGTTGTAGCAGGCATCAGAATTCTGCTTCTCGTTATGGCTGAGGAAGAGTCCACTGCATGGCTGTCTCACATTTTGTTTATCCATTCATTCATCTGAAGAAAATCTGAAATGCTTACCTTGGCCCACTGCCTATACCTCTGGCTTCACCTTACCCCACTGTCCACCCCATTCACTATAATCCTTCATTTCCTGAACATGCCAAGTTGGATTCCACCTCAGAGACTCTGTCCTTACTGTCCCTCTTATGGACCTCTTTTCTCTCAGTTTTTCATGTGACTGAATCCTCCCCACCCTTCAGGCCTGAGCTCCAATGTCATCTCTTCAGAAAATCCTTCCTTGTTTGACCATCTATTTAAAATAGTGTCCCCACCAGGTCGCCATCCATTCACCATTTTTTTCTTTCTTGGAAATTTATTACATTCAGAGAAGCAAGCTGGGATGACTAATGTATGTGTCTCACGCTAGTTTTCTCTACAGCTAATGTGTCAGCTCCCTGGTCAGAAATCTCCGCCCAAACCACCACATCACCCCTGGCATGAGTACGAGGCCTGGCACAGAGAACTCAGTAAGTGTGAATTGAATAAACGGGTAGATTTGCAAGCAGCACACACTGACTCTGCCCACGTGAAGCTCCACTCCGCTGCAGTATGGCAGCCTAGGACGCGGCCTTAGGTTCCTCTGTCATGAGGCTCTTTAATGGTTAGTTGCGTTACCCTTTCAGTGAAGGTTGACAATCTCCCATTTCAACATGACATAATTCTTTATGGCATTTTTACTGTGTTTGGCTCATTGGAGATGGTTTATAGAGGAATCATCACCCTTCAGTGGTTAAGAAGTGGCAGTATTTCAATAAATCTAAGCTCCTAATAGATTCCCACAACCTGCTGGCTGTTTCCAATGCTGAACCTCCCAAGTGAGAAGACTATTTGGCAAATGAAAGTACCCTGCTGTTGAATGACTGCACCACAAAGATGTCCTATCCTCTACCCCTGAGGGTCATCTGTCAGGAAAGAGACTGGGTCCTGGCACCCTTCTGATACCATCCACTTTGAACATCCAGGGTATTGAGATAAATCCACTCGAAATGATGTGATGTATTTAGGCATCTGCCACAAGCGCTGGCTTGCGTGGCAGCCTCTTAATGAGTTATAGCCCATGGATGCCTCCAAGTTCAATTTTCTTTCTACCGATGGCCACTTTATCAAGTGTGACGCACTAAGATCAGGCACTGCCAAGAAGAAGAAGAAACTCTTTGGGGAAAAATACCAATTTCTAATTATATTTATTGTCAAGTGAATGCAAATGTGGTTCAATAGTTTGAGGGATGCTCTGAAGCTGGAATCCATCTACCTGTTTCTCTAAATAACCTCAAGTTGAGACTCATTACCATTTTAATGCTTCTTGTGACACACACTTTTACAATTAATTGTCCCCCTAAAACGGTCAGCTTTCCCAACAAATGAATACCAGTGGTTTCCACCCAACTAGTGACTCTATGGTATTTACAAAAAAAAAACAAAGTTAAAGTGCTTCATTTTGTTTCATCCTTTCTTCAGTTGATGTGGATAACCCACACTTACCAGGAACTGTAAGTGGTATCAGTGACCCATCGGTCACGTAATGATATACCAAGTTGATACAGGATAACACATTCTGAAAGTGACATCTTCATTGAAGGTCAATGAACTAGCATCACCTTGAACCATGTGCATGCAGGCATCCTCACCTTTCCCTTTGGCTAAGTTTCTGTTGTATCCGACAGGACTGAAGTATTCAAAGACAAAGACAGCAATGGCAGAGACAATGAGCAGCATCACAAACATCATCACCCAGACGGAGGCGCTGAATGGCTCTGTGGGAAAAGAGGCCAGAGGAAGGGGAGACGTGGTCAGTCAGTTTCCCGTCACACCCAGGGCCCACAGGAAGCTCAGACGTCTGTCGGCAGGCTCACTGCGAAGCTCTCTCTAATGCGAATCAGGTCATTCAACAGAAGCTCATCATTGGCTCAGGTTGCACAGGGTACCATATCATGACAGAGGACTATGGAAGATTTCACAAGGCAAGTGAGGGGTGCTTCACTTCCACTACGTGGACAATTGGAATATGGGAGGAAGTCAGAATGCAGACAAAGAGGCCCTGGGGTTCTACACAACAGAGGCACCCAGGGGACCAAAGTCAGAGAGAGACAAGATTTGACTCAAATCCTTACCCATAAGGCATTGCAAACAGGCAGGGTTTGTATTTTAGGCACACGGGGGAAGAGGAAGGAGCTCTTGTGGTTCAGTGGTGAAGGCATTTGTCTGCTAACCAAAAGGTTGATGGCGCAAACTCACCAGCTGCTCCATGGAAGAAAGATGAGGCAGTCTGCCTCCGTAAAGATTTACAGGCTCGGAACCCCACTGGGGGTTGCTATGAGTCAGAACTGACTCGATGACTGTGAGTTTGGTTTTTTGGTTTTGTGGGAGGAGGGGAGACAGTGATGTGCATGGAATTCCAGAAATCAAAGGACAATTATATCCTGTAAGAAAAGAATCATAAAATCTTGGCATTAACAGGAATTTTGGAAAGTTATAGTCTGCCACGCCCACCTCCACCATTTCTACTTCATCTTCTGCTCCTAACAAATGCACCACTTTCTGTCACATCGACTCCGTCAGGATAAACCCAAGTGTGTCAGAGTACAACTGTGTGTCATGGGGCTTTCAATGGCTGCTTTCTATGGAAGTCAACTGCCAGGCAGGCCTTGGTTCTGGGCCACCTCTAGGTGGGCTCAGACTTGGGCTTCCCACCTTTCAGTTAACATCTGAGTGCGTCAACCATTGGTACCATTCAAAGATCCCTCAGCAAATTAGGGAGCTACTATTCCATAAATCTTGTTGAGGTTGGCAATGGGCTTAAGGACAATTAAAAAAAAAAAGTCATTAAAGGATATTACATTCACATGATAATTCAATGACAAACATCACTTAAAGAGGGGAAGCAATGACGCATTGGAGCAGGAGATGGTCATTTCCCTGACAAGTAATTTACAGCAGCTCATTCTCATGCACTTTAGGCCTCAGGTGGATATCTCAGAAGAAGTTCTAAATCTTAGAAAAGTCTAGAAAGATAAGAGATATTATATGAAATAAATTGGCATTTCTAGTCACCCTGATTGAGGATATAAAAATTGGCTGAATGGAGTCATTTTATCAATGTATAACATAAATTTGCTAGAAAATCAACAACAATTAAATTCTAAATAAAAAGAACGTGTGTCCACATAAATCATATCTTTGGGAAGAAAGCACCCTTAAACACCAGTGCATTTATAATCCTTTGATGGTAAGCAAACGCTTTCTGAGGGTAAAGTGTAGGAAACCCGATGATACTTCCTGAATAGCAGAAAACTTATTATTTTTAAGTTGTTTTTCTGATAGAACTAGAAGTAATCATAAAGAAGTAGGCCAACAGCAGGCCATCTTCTTATTAAAATCTGTGACTACCTGACCCAGAGAGGGGTCATCACAAGTTTCAAAGTATTGAGCTTAATGTGTAACAAGCAACTACTACTATCTCTGAAGCTATAATTACAAGTAGTGCTTGATTTACAATGGGGTTGCATTTCAACAACTTGACATATATCACAGCCAACTTTCAGAGCCAACTTATGTCAAATACTTCATTTTTCTCCTTTTTAGTTTTCCTTATCATTACCTTTCACTATTAGCGTCTTTATAAATCAGATATTTGAACATCTGTAAGTGAACACCTGAGAATGGTACCATCAGCAAGTTACACACTACGACACTGTATGCAGTACACCGTATTAATGGCAAGATGTATAAAAAATCAAAACAAAACAGAAAAACAGACAGTCATAAGCATGGTTCATCACAACTTGAATATTTTGCAAGTTAGGAACTACCTGTATATTGGATAATTTGACAAATGGAAGGAATGCTTTGCAGTGCATAGTTTTGACAGCGTAAAGTATATTAACATGATTTACTTGATTTAAATAACACAGGATGAGTGCCAAGAAATCAATGAGACTGTAACTGAAATTTATCTTAGTTAAATTTAGTTGAGTAACTGAAATTTATCTTAGTTAAATTTAGTTGAGTAATATATGATGTCACTCAAATCACAACAACTGGGTAATTAAGTGTATCTAAAAAAGGAAAAATGAATGAATGATTGGGAGACTGAAAATGACCTAATATTCAGGAATCAAGACATTAAAGTAATTCTTCAAGGTGGTGGTACCACTGGCATGGTGCATCTTTCCGGGGGAGGATCACTGTGATGGGTATACAAGCATGTACGTGTATTTTGCAGGGTGCCAAGCACACTGTGTGTTGTAGTGGTTTCCATTCGAGTCACTTCTGACTCACAGTAACCCTATCGGACAGAGTAAAGCTACCACTCAGTCTCCTAGCCTTGTAAGCGCTACGAGAGCAGATTGCCAGTTTTTTTTCTCCCACGCAGTGACTGGTGGGTTTCAACCTCCAGTCCTTTAGTTAGCAGCCAAGAGCTTAATCATTGTGCTATCAGGGCTTCTTAGCACACTGTGTGCACACTACACATTAAATGAAATTAGCTGTTTGGTTCAAAGGTGGAAGCCAGAATTGGGGTGGACAGTGCGCTGTCCACAGTCCTGAAGGAGGCATTCTGGTGTCACAAGGGCACCTCTATTAATCTGATCGCTTCCTTCCACTGTAGGCTGTGATGATAACATTATAAAAACACATTGGGGGAATTCTGACTGCATTCTTCTCCTCACACATTAGAATTGGTAACGCTTTAGGGGGCTTCATTTGACACACCCTAGTTCCTACTTCACTGTCAGGAAATCACTGGCAGATAAGCAACTGATTTCACTTGGAAGTGACATCTGTCCCTTGAGTTGTAATCATGGCAGAAAGATAGAAGCTTTCTGTTGCAGTATTCGGGTTTCAGTAAGTTCAGTTCCACAAATGCCCTGAATGATGATTATTCTCAGACAAACACACACATACACAACAGGGAGAAAAATATTAAAACAATAGCAACTCACAGCCTACAGTTTCTAAGGAATAACCCAGAAATATATTTAAAGAGCTCTGGACTAGATACTCTGATAGTTTAAAACAGAGACAACATCTGTCCCTGAAGGTACTTCAATCTGAGAGACTCCAAGGCAGTGTTTCTTTGGATCAAAAAAAAAAATTCAATGTGCTTAGAGTCTTTAGAATTAACTGAATGGAAATATAGCAAGGGATGTCATTTCTGTCCTTAAAGAATTAGTGGTTACTTTTTTTTTTTTTTTTTTTTACACAAAACCTCAGAGACTTTACCTGCAAGTGTTTCTGATGTGAGTTAATGGAGTTTGTGGAGGAGAGAATCGGAAATAATGAAGAGCAATGCAATCAGATTTTGAATGTTTTGGTTCTTCCAGATGACTGAGCCAGTGAATGGAAAAATGTAGCTTAGTACAGTTCATTATGACTTTCAAAACCTGAAGATAATGACTGTAAATAAGGGGGTGCACAGTCAATCGAACTGGGATGTAATTTAGTGACTAGGAAAACTACGAAGTCTATTGTGTAAAAAAATACTTTCCTTTGGCTACAATTCATTTTATTTTACTTTTAAAGACACAGCAGAATAACAGCATGGAATACTAAAATTACCACCCTTCTCTCAGCATTTTTATTTAAGGCAGAACATTAAAATTAATCATATTTATAATTGGATTTGTAATGGGCTAGTTTGTAATAAATTCAACTGCCTATTGAAAAAAAAATAAAGATACAGCAGAGAGAGCAGAGGGAATGGAGGTTTGGCTAAATTTAGCAAAAAGAGTTCACTTCTTATGGAAATGTTCTACTGATGCAGGTGAGGTAAAAATCTGGTGAAACTGGGTTGGGCCCAGATTCAATACCAGTAACCCATTTCAATGAGACAAGCTGAGTGGTATTTTTTCTCTCTCTGACTGAACTGGAAAACAGTTCTCTGTAGCTCACACAGGAGATGTGTGGACAACTTGCAAAAGGAAACATTCCTTTCCACTGTTTACCTATGAACTGCGTTCCTCTGTCTCCTTCTTAACCTCCACGGTTGAGGCTCCCTATTAGAATGTCTGGCATGGAATGGGGAAAAACATGAGTAAACAACAACAACAATACAAACACCAAGTCCGCTGCCTTCATGTCAATTGTGACTCATGGCAACCTTATGTGTTACAGAGTAGAGATGTCCCATAGAGTTTTCTTTGCTATAAACCAAAGCCTTTCTTCCATGGAGCTGCTCGATGGGTTTGATCTGCCAACTTTTAGGTTAGTAGTTGAGGGCAATGATTTGCA